CTGATTGGCGTATCATTTCTGCCAGAGGTTCTATTGCAAACACAAATAAAAACGGCAACAATGGATATCCCTGTCACGTGCTGTTAGACAATTCAAATGCTTCAGACATGAATCCAGCCGTCGAAACTCTAGCGTAGGCCTGAAATATAATGCAAACACAGCCCTGATGAAATGATCAGGCAAATTGAAATGCAACCGTTCCTCCCCAAGGTAATCCCAATGAATCCTATTGAATGCCTTATCCGTATCTAAAGAAAGAAGCAGAGAGGGTGTGCGATCCACTCGAATTTGGTGTATCACATTTATGTATCGGCGGGTGCTGTCCGTTGCCTGACAGTTCATAATGAATCCCACTTGATCATTGCTAACCAATGCCAGTCTTAGGTAATGTAATTAATTGAGCATTCAAATTCACTTACAGCATTTCACCCATCTTCCAATAGTGATTAAATAATTGAGTTAAATACGGGAGTAAAATGTCAGAAAAAATCTATAATAAGACATGGTAAATCTGTCAGGACCCCGGGCCTTGCCTGTAGGAATCATACTAATAACATCTATGATTTCCCTTGGGGATATAGGAGAATTTAATTATTCTAATTTGTCTGTAGAAACTTGTTTCAGAGAAACCTTATCCAGAAAAGGGCAATTTTTTTCAAATGTGTTTGTATAATATTGGTATCAGACACCAAATTAGAGAGTTTTCATAATAGTTTGCAAACATGTTACAAATTTTTCTAGGATGAGTAATTTTTATACCCTCATCATTTATCAAGTATTCACTTCTGGACTGGGAGATCCTATGGCGTAACTTTGAAGTTAATAATGAGGAAGCTTTATTGCCCTTTGCATATAAAGTCTATTAAGTCTCTTTATCACCAGGCCGTGTAATTCAACTGAGGTGTCTTGATTTTGTTTTTAACATCAAGTATCTCTTCAGCAAGGGATGAAGAAGGATCAAATGTATTCACCAAATTTAAATTGTACAATTTAGTTTCTAGGTCTTTTTGGTTTTTCAATCTAATTTTCCTTAAAAAGGAAGCTCGCTGAATAAAGTGACCTCTTATAACAGCTTTATGAGCATTTCATAAAGAAGTAATTTATTTGGATCTGAATTTTCCCTGAAATAATTAGAAAGCTCTGTTTCAGCAAGGGATTTATTTTCAAGATCAGTGATTAAATAATCACTTAATCTCCATTGCCTGTCTGGGATCGATCGAATGGACTATTCTAGATATAACATTATGGGGGCATGATCAGACCAGATAATATCCAGAATATCTGAATGTATAATAAAAGTAATAACACTTACGCTTGCCAAGAACCTGTCAATCCAAGAATGCATATTGTAAATAGGTGAGCAGAAGGTGTAGTCTCTCTCTCCTTCATGTAAAATGCGCCCACATTTAAATACGCCTTGTGAAAAGAGAAATTTAGAACAAAAATTCGCCAATTTTTCACTACAATAATTTTTAATGGCGCGATTAGATTCTCCAACTATATCAATATTGTGATCTAAAACAAAATTTGTGTCACCACCTATAATCAGTCTTCCCATTTTTGGATACTTTGTTAACAATTTTTTTCAAAAACTAAAGTTGATCAGAATAAGGAATATAAATGTTTGCCAGAGTGTACTCTACACTATTTAATAGGCCTTTCCAAATCATATATCTGCTCTCCCGATCAATTGAAACGTCAGTAGTGTGACATGCTACATTTTTATGAATCAAAATTGAGACACCCCTAGCCTTGATGCAAAATGTATAATGAAACTGGGTGGGACAATCCTTCAACAAAACTTTAGGGGAATTATTCAATTTAAAATGGGATTCTTCAATAAATATAACTTCGGGTCCATGCTTCCTCATCTCTTTAAATAGCAACCGTCTCTTTTGCGGCACATTCAAACCCCTCACATTTAGAGAAAAAACCTTTAAAATCATTTTCATTGTATAAAAAGAGCAAAACTAAAATTGAATAAAAATTCTGAGGGATCAGAAGCATGCCACACAAAATAAGGAAGCCGTGTAATCCAAACAAAATGCATACAGACACCATGACCCACCTGACTGAAAACCAAACTATACCATGTATATGCATATTAATATTAGCAATAATGACAATTGAAATGAATAAATAATTACAGGTAATATAACATGTTAAACTTAAGTATATGGACAAAAAGAGGAAAAGGGAAAAAGAACTTGGAGAAAAACCAAAGAAACAAAGAAAAGAAAAACAATGCAAGAATAATTTTTTTTAGAAAAATAGAAATATTTACAACAACAAAAAAGTCCAGAGAGTGGGAAAAAAACCTATAAGATTCCCTTTTTAATAATATATACAGGCTCATAATGGGGGACATGAGTGCATTTAAATGAAAATCTGTGAGAAATCTTTATCTACAAAAACATATGTTGATATTTAAAATGATTAAGGGATGCTGTTTTCAACAAGAATGCAATCTGGTCTATTGCATATGAACATGTTATCTTACATTTTATATTGCTTGTACTCCCAGCCATGCACTCTACAGATACCTATGTTGGTCAAACTGTATAACTCTATTCTAGCAGCTATGAAGGAGGGAGAAACTGCTCCTGGGTACTGAGTACCCTACAAGGAGGATACAAAAGCAGCATGCAATGCCCTTTATATACTCATAAATATACTGAACAAAATTATAAACGCAACACTTTTGTTTTTGCCCCCATTCTTCATGAGCTGAACTCAAAGATCTAAGAGTTTTTCTATGTACACAAAAAGCCTATTTCTCTCAAATATTGTTCAAAAATCTGTCAAAATCTGTGTTAGTGAGCACTTCTCCTTTGCCGAGATAATCCACCCTACTCACAGGTGTGGCATATTAAGATGCTAAATAGACAGCATGATTATTGCAAAGGTGTGCCTTAGGCTGGCCACAATAAAAGGTCACTTTAAAATGTGCAAGTTTATCACAAAGCCACAGCACAATGCCACAGATGTTGCAAGTTTTGAAGGAGCGTGCAGTTGGCATGCTGACTGCAGGAATGTCCACCACAGCTCTTGCCCATGAATTCATGAATTGAATGTTCATTTCTCTACCATAAACTGTCTCCAAAGGCGTTTCAGAGAATTTGGCAGTACATTCAACAACAACTACACCAGCCCAGGAAATCCAGCATCTTCACCTCCAAGATCATTTGAGACCAGCCACCCAGACTGCTGCTGCAACAATCGGTTTGCATAACCAAATAATTTATGCACAAACTGTCCCAGGGAAGCTCATCTGCATGCTTGTCGTCTCATCGGGGGCTCGACCTGACTGCAGTTCGTCGTCGTAACCGACTTGAGTGGGCAAATGCTCACATTCGATGGCGTCTGGCCAGTGGCGTACTTAGGGGGGGCGGTCTGCCCTGGGTGCCAGCAGGGTGGGGGGTGCCATGACCAGCCCCACCGGCCCCCCCTATGCTGCAGCCGCCCGAGCGCTCTGTAGAGAGCCTCAGGCGGCTGCAGCTTTGCCCGGGCGGTGCGTCCATGAGTGCGGACCGCACCGCCCAGGCGCAACCTGAGGCGAGGCTGGGCAGTGAGTGTGCGCTTCCTGTTAGTCCGGCCGGGTACAGGAAACAGATGCTCCTTGTACCCTAGGACTATACTGGGCTCGGCCACGCTACAGCAAAGGTGGGGGGGGGAGGTGAGAAAGAGGAGAAAGAGGGGGTGAGAAAGAGGAGAAAGGAGGGTGAGAAGAGGAGAAAGGGGGGTGAGAAAGAGAGAAAGGGGGTGAGAAAGAAGAGAAGGGGGGTGAGAAAGAGGAGAAAGGGGGGGTGAAAAAGGAGAAAGGGGGGGTGAGAGAGGGGGTGAGAAAGAGGAGAAAGGGGGGTGAGAAAGGAGGGAGGGTGAGAAAGAGGAGAAAGGGGGGATGAGAAAGAGAAAGGAGGGGGGTGAGAAAGGAGGGGGAGAGAAAGAGAAAGGGGGGGGTGAGAAAGGAGAGGGGGTGAGAGAAATTAGGAGGGAGGGAGAGATATTAGGAGGGGGGAAAGAGAAATTAGGGTGGGGAGAGAAATTGAAATTAGGAGGGGGGAGAGAAATTAAAATTAGGAGGGGGGAAGAGATATTAGGAAGGTGAAAGAGAAATTAGGGGGGAGAGAAATTAGGATGGGGTGAGAAAGAGAAATTGGGAGGAGGAGAAGGAAATTCGAGCGGGAGGAGAGATTGACATTCATCACATACACACAATGCACCCCTTGCACACAGAAAAACACACAATGCATTACACACACAGACACACATACACAAACAATGCAACCGTTACACACAATGCATCCCTTACACACACAGAAACACACAATGCATTCATTACACACACTCAATGCACCCCTTACACACATTCAATGCATCCCATACATACACAGAAACACACCTTGCAGCCCTTACACATACAAACACAATTTCACACAATACATTCCTTACACACATATCAGGACATCCCCTACACACTCCACCCCCTGTGAACAAACTCATTGGTGGAACATGAAGGTGGACCCTGGGACCCAGACCTTGAGCTGTGTAAAGGGCCCTCAAAAAAATGGAGCTGCTTCCCGTTCTCCCAGAACAGTGATTTTTGTGACCACAGTTACAAACCGCCTCCAGAGAGCCTGTTCTACACCAGACCAGTGGAGCCAGACTGCAGCTAGAGCCCATCATCATCTGGTTGTAAGTAGGCAATCTAGTATATTATTCGTGGCACTAAGCTCTAATTTACCTCACATTAAAGAAACACTATAGTCCCCAGAACCACTTAGGCTTAATGTAGTGGTTCTGGTGTCTATAGCCTGTCCCTGCAGGCCTTTTAATGTAAACACGGCGGCACTGCAGCACTGGCGTTAGTTAACATGGCATATCATATGGGTGGGGCATTGTGATGTCACATGGGGGGGGCGGCAAACTTTACTTTTGCCTAGGGCGGCAAAAATCCTTGCACCGGCCCTGGCTGGAGGGGGCTGTGTGAGCTATGGCCGCACAGTGTCCCATAGTAGTTAGGGTGCCGTGCGGCCAGTACAGCTCACACAAGCAAACAGCTGATAAACTGGCCGCACGGAGGAAATGTGTGTGTGTGTGACTGTCTGCCTGTAACTGAGTGTGTGACTGTCTGTCTGTAACTGAGTGTGTGACTGTCTGCCTGTAAATGTGTGTGTGGGGCTGCAGGGATTTTGTAGAAGGGGGCGGGGGTTTTGTATTGGGACAGGAGTCTTTATAAGGGGGGATAAGCAGGGGATTTGTGGAAGGGGGTTGCGGGGGTTTTGTAGACGGGGCAGTACAGGATTTGTAGAAGGACAGAGGTTTTGTAGGAGGGGCGGGGCAGGACAAGGGTTTTGTAGGAGGGGCTGACAGCGGTTTTGCAAAGTTTACAAATTGTAAAAAAAAAGAAAGAAAACCTTTAACATTTTTTACAGGTTTATTTTTTATTTTTTGGGTGGGTGGGGGGGGGTGCCAAGCACAGGATCCGCCCCGGGTGCCAAATGCTTTAGGTACGCCCCTGCGTCTGGCACTTTGAAGAGGTGTTCTCTTCACGGATGAATCCTGGTTTTCACCGTACAGGGCAGATGGCAGACAGCGTGTATGGCATCATGTGGGTGAGCCTTTGCTGATGTCAACGTTGTGGATCAAGTGGCCCATGGTGGCGGTGGGGTTATGGTATAGGCAGGCGTATGTTATGGACAACGAACACAGGTGCATTTTATTGATGGCATTTTGAATGCACAGAGATACCATGACGACATCATGAGGCCCATTGTAGTGAAATCAATCTGTGACCATCATGAGCATCATGATAATGCACAGCCTCATGTTGCATGGATCTGTGCACAATTCCTGGAAGTTGAAAACATCCCAGTTCTTGCATGGTCAGCATACTCACCGGACATGTTAACCATTGAGCATGTTTGGGATGCTCTGGATCGGTGTATACAACAGCATGTTCTAGGTCCTGCCAATATCCAGCAAATTCGCACCGCCATTGAAGAGGAGTGGACCAACATTCCATAGGCCACAATCAACAACCTGATCAACTCTATGCGAAGCAGGTGTGTTGCACTGTGTCACACCAGATACTGACTGGTTTTTGGACCGCCCAGGATGCCCTCAGACCACCCCAATATAGTAAAACTGCACATTTTAGAGTGGCCTTTTTTTGTGGTCAGCCTAAGGCAGACCTGTGCAATAATCATGCTGTCTAATCAGCATCTTGATTTGCCACACCTGTGAGGCAAAGGAGACGTGCTCACTAACACAGATTTAGACAGATTTGTAAAACAATATTTGAGAGAAATAGGCCTTTTGTGTACATAGAAAGAGTCTTAGATATTTGAGTTCAGCTCATGAAAAATGGGGGCAAAAACAAAAGTGTTGCGTTTATAATTTTGTTCAGTGTATATTTTTTTTTTTTGCATTTGAAGGAATTTGCATTTACAGAAACACCGCCAGGTTTATATTTTTTCATTGATTTCTGTTGCACCTAGTTACATAGTTACATAGCTACATAGTTACATAGCTGAAAAGAGACTTGCGTCCATCAAGTTCAGCCTTCCTCACATTAGTTTTTTGCTGTTGATCCAAAAGAAGGCAAAAAAACCCAGTTTGAAGCACAATTTTGCAACAAGCTAGGAAAAAAATTCCTTCTTGACCCCAGAATGGCAGTCAGATTTATCCTTGGATCAAGCAGTTATTACCCTACATTGAAAGATTATATCCTTGAATATTCTGTTCTTGCAAGTATGCATCTAGTAGCCGTTTGAACATCTGTATGGACTCTGATAAAACCACTTCCTCAGGCAGAGAATTCCACATCCTGATTGTTCTTACAGTAAAAAAACCTTTCCTTTGCCTTAGGCGAAATCTTCTTTCTTCCAGTCTAAACGCATGGCCTCGTGTCCTATGTAAAGTCCGGTTTGTGAATAGATTTCCACACAATGGTTTGTATTGGCCCCGAATATATTTGTATAATGTTATCATATCCTCTCTCAGGCGACGTTTTTCTAAACTAAATAGGTTTAAATTTGTTAATATATGTCCAAATAAAAATTCAGTTTCCATCTTAATGTCTCAGATCTTGTTGCAAATATTTCAAGATAAGATTCAAAAAGGTTGTATAGGATAAATTAATAAATAAAATAAAAAATGTGTTTGTAAATGTACTTTATAATTTCATTGTTTACATATACCTGTACTGCCATGTACACACAAAACTGATGCGTTTTGCTTTTTTTAAGTGTTAACATTGTATTTGATATTTCAAATAAACATTATGCAGTGGCCGTGCTACCAGTGTAACAAAGGTTGCACCTGCGACTAGGCCCTGGAGTTCTACCTGTCAAGGGGGTGCCCAGCGTAGATGAAAAATGCAAGAAGGGCAGGAGCAGGCGGCTTACTTCATTCAGTTTGTTCACCTGCTGCTGCCCTGCATAGAGCCTAGCGCTGGGTCCACTCCTCATCCAGGTCCCTGGTGGCCTAGTTGTTGTATGTGTTGCTCCGCATTCCTTCCATTAACCCTCGTTCATATCCTCCTGGCTCGGGCGCTCAATTAGTGAGTCAGAGTGCAGTCGAGGGGATTCCCTGCATACACTCTGACTCAACATTGATTGTAGGAAACAAGAGGGAGACAACATGATAGAGGAATATCATGAGGGGTGAGGAGCATCACATATCACCCACGGACCACCAGGGAATATATGAGAGCTAGCAGCAGCAGTAGCATGAAGAGCCATAGGGTTCTGTCGCACAAGGGATTAAGACAGGCTCCTTTGGAGCCAAATACACTGGGGTACAGGGGGAGGCAGTTAAATTGCACACTACGAGGCAACAGGATAGAGAGATGGACTTAGACAGAGAGTAAATATAGTGTGTCTATATATATCAGTGTTTGTGTCTGTCGGTATATGCATCTGTACATGCGTGTCAGTGTCTCTGTGTGTTGCAACAAAAGCAGAGAATATGAGAATGTAGACAGATAAGAGAGCGCAAAAATCAATATCCAATCAAAATTAACAATAAATCGAAAAATTCATGAAAGCAGCTAAAAACACATAAGACATTTCCCAATTTCATATAGACAATATGTTAAAATCGCGTTAGCGCTATTAATGAGAGAAACCCTCCAAAGTAAGAGTAAAGGGGGCACTCTGCAGGTATTCTAAAGAAGAAAATATATGCACAGCCGTTCTGTACAAAACAATATCAATTGGTTACCAGTAAACCTTACTTCTATTCGTGATGTCTTATAGCAATATATAAAGTCTTCTAAAGAAAAAATTTACTTTCAGGTGTCCCAGAGTTCCTTGATATTGTGGGTGTTAGATGCTGCAACAGGGGTAAAAGTCAGCTGTCTAAAGTTGTAGCATCCAGATGGTGCCTTTAAAAGGATACAAAAGAGATATCCATAGCGTAACACTGTTTTTTATAAATATAAAAAAAAACATTCACCCCCGAAAAGGAACCCTTACATAGACATGTAGTGATACTTGTCTCCAAGTTATCACAGAATAAGCATGAGTTAAAACCAGTGAGTCTGCTGTTACAATCCGTCCAAATGACTCTCCCGGCTGAACCGTTAACTCCAGAGGCTGACGGCCTCTGGAGTTAACAGACAGTGAGCAGGGAGGCCGTCCTGAGCACCTGGCATCCTTTCAGCCATAACAGTGTATTGCACGGTGGAAAGGTCTCGGTTCAGCCGGGAGAGTCAATTGGTGTTTGCATCTTTCTGTGTATATGTGTCTATGGGCATCTTTCTGTGGCAGTGTATGCATGTTTCTGTGTATTGCAACGTGCCCCTGTGGCAGTAAATATGTATTTGTGTATACACATTTGCATGCAATCATCAATATTACACACAAACACACCCCTGCATTCAAATGCCAGCACTACATATAAAAGCTGTTCTGCATTCAATTACCAACACTGAACACAAACACACCCCTGCATTCACATGCCAATATTACAGACAAACTCACCTTTGCATTCATACATTAAAACTACAATCATACATTCAAACACCAACACTACACACCCACCTGCATTTAAATGCCAATAATACACATAAACGGACCCCCTGTATTCAGGCCAGCTCCATAATGGAATCGCACGCAGTGTACACTGGGAGAGGGAGAGTAGTCACATGACTAGCTGGCGCTCAGTATGAATCAGTGTGCCGCCAGTGTCAGACATCCCCCTCCCCTGTTATGTGAGGTAAAACAGCAGGGAGGATGCTACATTTTATTTATTGGTAGTGAATTGTTCCCATTTTCTTCTGTAATTTATTGCTAGTCCAGGAATTTTCTTTATTGAGATCCTAATATTTATTATTTTTTTCATGATTTGTGGAATAAAATGTGGATCCAATTGTTATTTTGTTTGAAAACTACAACTCATCTTACTTTCTGAAAGGCTGTAGATCTATCCAAAATTAGGAATATAATTTTTTTCTCTTTTGGTGAATTTGAGTACTATTTTAATTGGTGATTTCATGCAATGATGTGTAAACCATGTATGTATACTGAAAATGATCAATGATCGTGCTTATAACAAATGCTGATTTCCTGTTAAAATATTTGTAAAAAGGACTTTAAAGAATTAATAAAAATTGGATGGCTAAAGAACAAAGATAGAACAGGTTCAGGTAATGCTGTCAGTTCTTTTTTTTGTCAATCTTTCTTTTATTGAGGCGTATAGTTGCAAGGGTGCAGAATAAAGAAGGGGAGACGATAAAGATACATAAAGGATGGGGATAGTACAGCATTATATATCAAGTAGATTAATGGCATGCACATAACTGTAATGTAAAATTACTGAAACTGCGCTTGTAACAATATCATTAATGCAGAAGCAATATTCTAGTTGTTAAAACAAGTTAGTGCGGTGAAACTATTTAATAGCTGAGTGGTTAGAAACATGCTAAGCTGCTGCGCCTTAACTGTGTGTGAGCATAGAAAACGTAATGCCTTACGAGAGATGGTGATGTCTTAGCTCACTTTCCTATTGCCCATGAGTAATAGTATGGCATGTTAGGTATCGTGAGTGTAGGTAAATGCATTGATATTGTATTGCGTTTAGAGAGTCTTTGTAGGCAAGATTAAGTCTCAGGCATGTCAGACGTTGAGTACGGTATGCAAAAGGTAACAGAGGGAGCATGTCTGCTAGGCGGGAGCCCACCAGACAGCATCAATTT